GCCTCAGCTCCCTCCAGTGTACAGCTCTGTGACCATAGAAAACTGTAAGTGTCATCTTTGCTTCAAAGTCATGTTCAAAATCTCCACCATCTGCCATTGGTTTTGTAAGCCCTGGATTTCGCTTGCTTCTTGGCATCTAAGCAGTGCTTAGAAATGAGGATTTTAGTATCCAAGTTGGGTTTGGACATTGTTCATCTAAAAATCCAAAATGCTACTTGATGCCACCAACAGAAAATCCCACACCATGATACTTGCTGCCATGCTCAGAACTACTTGAAAACATGGTGTTCAGTCACCTCTGGGCTGTTTGTGGTGGCGATGAAACACGCATGAACTTCAGGCTTAGAGTGGGGGCCCAGCTACCTCGTTATGTTCAACGTCGGAAACACTTCTGGAAATCTGAATGCTTATAGACACTAGAAGGCAGAAGCACTTCTGATCCTGGGCATTTTGGACAGTTGATACCCACCCTGTAACGTTACCTTGCTGACCACGGTGGTGGTGCTGGGCTGTGAGGGCCTGAGAATTGTGTAAAATGTGGATCGCAGGGGCCTGGAGGAGGGGCGAGCCTCACACCTGGGAACTCCAGCGAGTAAGTAGAGCATTCACGGCCACCTGGGACCATGGCTCGTTCTCCTTTCCTTGCCGAGCCCCTTCCTGTGCTCAGAGGACCGGCCGGACCGCAGTACCCAGTGGCTGGCTTCCTGCACTAGATGCCCTCACCCCGCAGAGAAACATGTGAGCGCTGTGAGTCCTGGGGTGACCACGACCGTGCTCCCGGGGTGCAGGCAGGTGCAGAGGTGGCCATGGGGGCATGGCACAAGGTGCAGAGTCCAAGAGCAGGTTGGAGAGTCAGGTGGACTGAGGTGGTGGGGTCCCACCTGGCGATGTGCTTAAGACCCTGTCTCTGTAGCTTCTTGAGAGCCTCACGATTTCCATGCTGTCCCATGCTGGCAGGGACAGCTGTGCCAGTGAGGAGAGAACTGTCTACACTGCGGGTGGCAACCTGTTCGTGGGCACAAAAATCAGTTTACTGGGTCACTGCAGCACTCGTTTACGTAAGAGCTTGAACTAAATACAAAGTAGCAGAGTGCGCCACAAGCACTAAGGATGAGGATTGTGTTGCAAAAAACTGGTACGTAGTTACACATCATACCAGTTAAATTGCGGATGCGTATCATAGACTGAAAATGCCCCCAGTATGTCATTCGCTAATCCTCCAACCTGAGAACATCATCTTAGTTGGAAAAGGGGACCTTGCAGATGGGATTATGGTAAGGATGTTGAGATTATCCTGGTGTATCAGAATGAGTCCTGAATGCTATCGAATTTATTTCTAAGAGAGAGAGAGGCAGAGGGAGGTTACACAGAGACCCACAGAGAAGGAAAGGCGACCCGGAGACCCAGACTAGGGTGGCACTGCTCCAAGCTGAGAAATCCGCAGTCCTGGAAGCTGGGCCAGGCAAAGCACAGGTCCTCAACCCTCAAGCAATTAGTGCCTCGGGATGGAATATGCAGATTTCAAATTAGCTTGAGCCAAGCAGGGCTTAGCTCTGGAACTGGAGGTGCGGCCAGCCCTGCCCATCATATGACTGAGAGAGGGCGGCAGGCAGGTGCTTCCTTGGCGCAGATCTTTTGGTGGCGGAGGAGAGGGTGGTCACTGCAGGCAGCAACTGCCCACCCCTGGGGCTGGCCCTTCCCTAACTCCCTGCTGAGGCCAAGGACATCCCTGGGTGGATGCCTCCCAGCTCCACGGGGGGCCAGGTTGGCCTCTTCGGCTCCTCTGGGCTGGCCGGGTGCCGTCGTCCCGCACTTCCTGGGTGCCTCCCATCGGTCCTGCTCTGTTGCTCTGTCCGTGGGGCTGCTCATGGCACCGCTGTCTCCGACTGCAGACAGGTACGGCTCACTGGATGCTCGTAAATCTGAGTGGAGGCTCAGGACCAGCTGGCATGGGTGGCCCTCTCCCTGCACAGATGTGCCAGGGTGGGACCTGGACCCTAAGGCCACCCTCTCTCCTGGCACTCAGACAGAGCCCACAGGCAGTGCTCTGAAATGACATGGGTCATCCCAGAGCTCACGAAGATTCTACACAACCTCAGGCATCCAGCCTCGCCCTGGCCACTCTGCTGCTAGTCAAAGCCCCGTGATCCAAAGATGTCCACTGACCATGTCCCAGGACACAGGGTGTCTGTTTGGCTGGGCCGCTGAGGGCCTCCCTTGGGAGTTGCCTTTCGAGTAAGTCCATGCTTGGGGGAAGGACATGTCTTTTTTTCTTTTTTTTTTTTTTGTCTTTTTGAGACAGAGTCTCGCTATGCAGTTCAGGCTGGCCTTGAGCTCACTTTGTAGCCCAGGCTGGCCTAAAACTCACAACGATCCTCCTGCCTCAGCCTTCCGAGTACTGGGATTACAGGCGTGCAACACTACATCGGTCGGGAAGGACATGTCTTACCCATTAGTACAGGGGACCGGGCAGGGTGTCCAGACCGACAAAGAAGCCTGGCTTCCACATCCTGTCTTGCACACCAGTCTCCTGGGCTGGCGTATCTCACTCCCAGGAATCTCAGAGCGCTACATCTCCTCCCAAGTGTGGCCACCTAATGCTCTGAGAGCCACCTGTCTCAGGGACACAGCAGTGACAGGCCGGTGTTCTGAAAGATGATATCCTTGTAGCACCCAGAGAGCCCATCCATAGCTGTCCCTGCTTGTCAAGGTGAAACCCATGCTTTCGCCAGGGTGTCTACTGCCTCAGTTTCTTCATCGGCAAACCAGGAGTATTGGTGTGGCCGTGCTGAGTGCTCTGTGGGCAGCTGCTGTCACCGTCACGGTGTCTACCTTGAGCTGGGCCTGGGTTCGGGACAAGTCAGCTGCAGAATCATCGAATGGGAAAACTGTTTTCTCCTACACTTGACCTTAGCTGCACGGCCAAAAGGCAAAGAGACTGTTGACTTCTAAGCAGAAGGAGCCTGTTGACCCTGTGCCATTGTATCTGGGGAATATGTAGCTTGCTTTCGGAGTTTTGAAGGAGCCCACAGGTAAGTTTTCCTTGAGTCTCAGAGGAGACTCTGGACTCAGACTTTTGAGTAGTCCTGGAACTGTGAGACTTTGGAGGAGGGATGTCTGTGTTTCCGATTCCACATGGAGCAGTTACATCACGTTAGGAGGAATTAGGACCTTGTTCTTGGCTCTCCTTGGAGATGAAGTTTGGTTTCAAATATGTTTAGGTGTCAAGTTGATAAGGCGAGGATGATTGTGATGGTTCATCTTGATCTTAAGTTAGTAAAGCACACTCTGGGTATGTCGAGCAGGTCATGGGTGCGTGTCCTTGGGTCTACATCTGGTCTGTAGCCTTTCCTTTGTCTCTTTTCTGGTTTGTCCACTTCCTGGCTGCCATGAAAGAAGCAGCTTTGCTCCACTGTGTTCTTCTGCCACGATGTTCCTGCCTCAGAGTCAGCTGTCCATGAACTGAAGCCTCTGAAGCCGTGAGCCAAATGTAAGCCTCTTGTCCTCTAAGTTGTATATGTCAGGTATTTATCCCAGCAATAGAGAGGTGACTAACACAGAGTCCAGTTCTTTTCCTTGAACACAAAATCTGTGCCCATTGTTCGTTCTGTGGAGTCCGAAGAGGAATACTGCACACATTCCTTGGGATTCCTGCTGCAACGGCCACTCCTCAGCACCCCTTTGGTGCGCAGGAGTGAAGCTTTCAACAGCATGATTAAGTTGGACCAGGGGGTACAGACAGCATTCACCTGCCTGCCAGCTCCCCAGTTCTTTTCCCAGAGCCGACTGGATGAGGCAGTTTTGTTGGGTAAGAAATGTGACTTGTGCTTGAGGGTGTTGCCCTGAAGCCCCTTACCATGACCTGACTTGCACAGACCCTGTGCCCAGTTAGCCAGGATGAGGACTGTGGCTCTCACGATGCACTCTGGCAGCTTGGTAGGGCCAGGGAGCGTTCCTGCGTCCACAAAGCTCACACTGAAACCACTCCCGGAGAAGGAAGGAGAGCAGGGAGTCCCTCAGGGGTCTGTGACTGTCAGTCCTGATGTGTCAGCTTGATTGGGTTAAGAAAGGCCTAGCGGATCAGTGAAGCATGTGTGTCTGGGTGTCTGGGGGTCATGGAAGCGTGGCCTTGGGGTCTGTATCTGTTCCCTGCCCGCTCCTCTCTGGTGCTGTTCCCCTGCTGTCCTTCCTGGCCACCATGAACTGAGCATCTCTGCTCCACCACACTCTTCCACCATGGTTTTCCTGCCTTGGAGCCAGCTAACCATGGACTGAATCTCCAGACACCATGTGCCAGATTATACCTTCCCTCCTTTAGGCCATGAGTGTTGGGTATTGTGTCCCAAGAAAGCTGCTGAATGTAGGGCCTCAGTCAGCCAGATGTAGGCAGGGCCCTAACCCTGCTTTTTTACTGTTCAGGAGCCTCCTGTAGCTTGTCTGAGCTTCCTTCGCCTCAGTTTCCCCTCTGGTGCATTGGTGTTGTGGGCTAAGGAGGTACTCCCAAATCCACGTCCACCTGGACCCTCAGCGTGTGCCCTTCTGTAGGGCTCTGCATATGTAGTTAAGGTGGGATGCCAGTGAGGTTGTGGGGATCAAGGTGAATCCTAAGCCCACTGACACGTAGAAGACAGCCCCTCGGAGATGGAGGCGTGGGCTGGAGGAGGCGGCGGGAGCCCCACACTTCAGTCTTACACATGGGCCCCACGACTGTGAGGGAAGGGTATCTGCTGTTAGGGCAGCCCCCCTCCCACGCACTGGCACTGGCTGTAACTGCCAGCACACGGGGCCGCTGTGGGGGTTGTGAACTTGCTCCAGTCACCTCCAGCACGTGGGGGTCAGTAACTGTCCCCCAGGCCTATTCGGTGTGCCTTTCCCGGACACCGGGAAACAGGTGCGCGTCTGGGGTGGCAGAGTGGTGGAGGCTATTTTGGTGTTCCGGGAAGGGCCTGGCCCTGCCCGCCTTGGACGAGGGGGTGGCAGCTGCCACGTGACCTCTGGCATGTCACTGGGAGGTGCGCCCTCCGAGGAGCTCTCTCCCACGCAGCTGCACCCGCAGCTCCCTGGCCCCGGAGGGAGAGCACAGAGCCTTTGTGAGGAGCCACAGCATGGGGCTGCCCGGAGGAGGGACAGGTAAAGCCCTGGTGGCCCTGTGTTTGGTTCCGGCTGGTCTTGAGCCCTTTGGATGAGCCTCGAGTGCATACTGCCTTGAGATCCAGGGAGACAGCACTTAGGGGACCCACTGTGTGCAGGCTTGGGGGCTTTCTCGCAGACAGCGCCGCGGGTGAGCAGGGGACCCCATTTACGGCTGATGAACTGAGGCCCGTGGAAAGGATGGGTCTGGCCCAGCGTCCCATGATGGGTGTCAGAGCCGTGACCGCGTCAGGGCCGGGATCGCTGGGCCCCAGCCTGTCTGTCCTTCCCCTCTCTCCTTCCTCCTTCCTTGCCTCTTTCCAAGGCGGTGGTTCTCAGCCACTTGGAGGCATCAGTGATGGTGAGGGGACTGCTGGCACCAGGCGGGGAAAGGCCAGGACCCTGCTGGACATGTAGAGCGTGTGGGATGGCCCCCAGCAGAGCACCGCCCAGGCCACCCTCGCGGGCGGGCTCAGGGCTGGCTTTAAGGAATGTCACAAGTTGTCCCTCCTCCAGGATTGACAGGGAGCAGGGTGTGTCCAGCTGCACAGACGCAAACAGCAGGCCAGGCGAATGGGCTCCCATCCTGCATGATGACAAGGGGGTTGCTGGCTGAGGAGGAGAGAACCTGGACCCTGGCAGCAGAGGCGATGGGTGGGGACCACGGGGAGAACTTGGGCGCCCCAGGCTATGCCAGTCCTGCTCTCCCCGGGCTTCCTGTCCCCACCCTCTGCCTGGGTGCCAGGCCCAGTGCCCAGGCTGGCCCCTCCTGGCGTTCTCCTTTCTGGCCTGCGGGGTCCATCCAGGGACCAGGACCAGGGCCTGTGCCGTCTCGTCTCCCGCATCAGCGCCCACATTCTTCAGACCCTGGGTTGTTGCTGAGGAGCGGCTCTGGGCTGGAGCTGAACGGGAAGCCTCAGGCTCTCCCCGGCCCAACCTCCCAAGGGCCTCATGGACCCCGTCTGTAGAGGGGGCTGACGGTGGCTCCGCCTGCCGGGGGAGAACTGCACGTGATCTGTGTCCCCCGGAGGGCACAGCTGCGGCTCCCCGTGCTGGCCACGCTCAGGCTGACCGTGCGCCCTCTTGGCCATGGAGGATGAGTCCGCTTCGGATGGGAAGCAACCCGGCCCAGCCCGGTGGATTCCCGGAGCTGAGAACAGGTGACAGCGTCCGTTTCCCAAGTGGAATTTCCATGCCGGAGGCTGGCGGGTCTCCCGTCCCGCTGATAGGCGGTGTCTGCCCTGCCCTGCGAGCTCTCACCCGCAGCCAGCAACAGCACAGAGGGCAGAGAGCAAGCAGCAACAGTGCCAACTGCGCTGGCGTCGGCTGCACTGAGCCCGGGGGAGAAGCGCCGTGGTTGCCCGCCCTCACAGAGGGAGAGACGGCGTCGCGTGTGGCCAGCTGGAGACCGTGTGGGGGATGCAATTCTATTTATGGAAAGTTACTTATGCAAAATTATAGTAAGAACTAAAGAGAAAGAGTAAATATTCGTTATCTCAGATCGGGCCAGTTTCTTAGAAGTGACACCGAGCACACAAGCCCTAGAAGAAAAATTGGATTTTACCAAAACGAAGAACACTTGTGCTGTGAAAGACATCGCCAAGAAAGTGGAAAAAAACAACTCAAACTGGAAGAAGATATCCACACATTATCAGCCATCAGGTAAATGCAAAGCAGAGCTTGATGCTGGCAGGTTGCATGGCGCACACCTGTCATCCCAGTAGTTCTAGGAGGTTGAGGCAGGAGGGTCACAGGTTCAAACCCAGCCTGGACAACTTAGCAAGACCCTGTCTCAAAATAAAAAGTTTAAAAGGGCTGGGGATGGAGTCAGTGCAAAGACCTTGGATTCATCTCAGAAGCCATCCAGGACTGGAGGAGAGAGAGGATGCTTCACACCCACTAGCAGGCTAAAATCAGTCAGGTAAGCCAGAGCTGGTGCTGAGGCCGCGGAGAAACCGGAACCACGGGGGAACAGCTGCTACACGACAGTCTGGTGACCCCCTCAAAGTGTTAAACAGAGCGAGCCAGTGACCCAGCATTCTACTCCTGGCATGAACCCCAGGGAAAAGAAAGCACATGCCACCAAAAACACGCACACAAGAGCCCATTGCAGCAAAGAGGGACACAGTCCCCAAGTCCAGCAGCAGATGAATGGCTGCACAAAATGTGCTCTGTCCACACGATGGAACAGCACCCAGCCACGAGGAGGAGCGGCGCACCGGTGCCTGTTTCCACACGCTGTCCCAGTCTGCGGAGGCCCCGTGCTGTCTGACTCCGTGTGTGGGGAATGCCCAGCGCAGGCAGATCTGCCGGGACGGACCCCTCACTGCGGGGTTTCTGTTTGGCAGGACGGCAGTTTTCTAAATTAGGTTATGGCGATGGAGCCACAGCTCTGTGAATATACTAAAAACTTCGGAACGGGCCACTTGAAACAGGTGCACCTGTGACAGTGGTGAGACATGCATGCTCGGCACCTCTGCAGAGCTGGGGCTGGTGGCAGCAGTTCTGGGGATGGCACACCCTGGACATGAGAGCCAGGCCCAGGCTCGGGCGTTGTCGTTATGGCATTGCATGGTGTCCCGTTGTCACGTCCTGGCATGCAGACTGACGGGGTGGGTCGGCCACCCTCAGCCCGGGCGTTACCTTGGGTTGGGAAGACCCTACTGCACACTGACAGGGCCTCTCCCAGGCTGTTTCTGTGGTTGAATCCAGGGCCACCCATGTCTCTCAAGGGACTGGTGGCTCCAGGCTGGGCTCCCACAGCTTGTGCCCACCTCACCTCCTGGCCCATCCGGTCCAGCGGGGCCTGGTTGTGCTGGCCAGCGGGGACCAGGGTGGATGCGCCCTGCCTGGCCACAGCCGCCCCGAGCCCAGGGCCTGGTGGAGCGGCCTGCTGCGCAACCGGAACTGCGTGTGGACCAGATGCAGAGAGCTCAGCCCTGTGTCCCCTCCCGGCCGTCGGCCAGCCGCCTGGTGTCCAGTTTTAATTACACACTCAGGAAGTGCTCTCTCAATGCGTGTCTGCCAGGGCCCAAGGGCCCCGGAGGACGTGAGAAGAGCTGGGAAGTGAGGGGGGTGAGGCCCGTGCTGGTCCGCCCTGCCAGCTACAGGCTGTGTGAGCTCCCGAGGCGTGGTGCTGAGCCCCGGGCCCTCAGGCAGCGTGCGGGTGATGATGCTTCTCATGCCGGTTGGGACAGGGTGGAGCCCATGTGCCCAGTTCACCCACAGCAGGTGGCGCACCTGAAACCTGGCGTCGCCGTTCACAGTGGAACCAGATGGTTCTGTTCTGGTGCTCGCAGAACTGCCAATTCAGGGGCCACCATGGCCCAGCCGTGGCTGCACCTACTTCCTGCCCCGTCCTGGTGGCAGTGCGCTGTCCCAGACAGCTGGGCACCTTGGCCTCGCCTTAGGGTGCCTGCCCCACTGGGAACCTCCCTGGGTCCCAGCTGAGGACAACTCGTGCCCCTCCTTCAGGGGAAGGTTCTAGGGGACAGTGGGCCCGCTGACCCCCCAGGACATGGCTGAGGCTGTGGGTACCAGGCCCCCAGTCAAGGGGAGTGTGCTGCCACTGTGTGCTGTGACCGTGCTGCTGGCACATTCTCAAAGTCCTCTGGGTGGGCTGCAAGCTCACCCCATCCTGGACCTCAGTCTCCAGCGCTGTAGAGGGGGTGTCTGCCAAAGAAGCCCTGTCTGTCCTTGGCATTGTTTCGTGGCCTCAGCTGACCAGGCAGATGGCATCCTCCTAGGAAACGGGACAGGAAAGGGAGCTGAGGGCACCTCTGGACCCCTCATGGGCATCATGCTGGACTCCAAGCCTGGGACTCTCCTGGGCCATGTGTTCTCAATGGTGGGGCACAGCAGCCGGCCCCCAGCTGGGGCCAGTGTGTGCAGGGCTAGGGCCCGGGCAGCGGCTACAGCAGTGGAGGGGTGGCTCCCTGGGATGTGTCTGTCTCAGCAGAAGCTGAGAGCTGCGCTGGGGCCCTGGCAGGGCCTGCTTCTGTCCCAGCTGTGCAGTCCACCCATTTGCAGCTTGGTGACCAGGGTAGGGCGCAGTGACCCAGCTCAGGGCCTGGCACAGATTGGGCTCAGGAGCAGGGAGAGGAGACGGTGCGTCCTCCCCTAGGGCCCTGTGTGTAGTTCTGGAGCCACGTGCTTCCCGCTCCTCCTCAGACTGAGGGAGCACGGGTGGGCAAGGCAGTGTGACACAGGGACAGGCTCTGGGCGGGGCCGAGCTGCAGACTTGCTGGGTGGCCTGGACAGGTCAGCGGCCATCTGGCCCATGTATGTGTGGTCAGCCCACATGTGCGCTGACTCTGACCTTCCAGAGTGCCACCACGAGATCCGACGGCCTGGGTCCTGCAGGGCTGTGCCCTGGCAATGACGTGCCATTTGTGCTGGGACACAGGGGGCCAGGGCAGTGGGGGTGGGGTGCCAACTGCTTGTGGCTGGAAATCTGGCAACTGCTGGTTTCCAGCCCTGAGGTCCTCTGGGAGCAGTGGCCACTGCTACTGAGAGGAGACTGCACCTCCACACTCCTACCTCCTCCCCCAAGCCCCGGGAGTCCCTGTAGTCATGACACGGGGTGGGACACTGTGTGGCAGCTCGCAGATGGAAGGCAGTGGGGTGAGCAGGCAGGTCCCAGGCCCTGGGCCGCCTCCGCCGCCCTCAGGGAAGGTGTGTGAGGTCCAGGTGGCTCCCTATAGGTGCCCCACGCACCAGGCTGCCTAAACAACCCACGTGTGACCCGTCCCGGTCCTGGAGGCCCGAAGTCTGAATCCAGGTGTCACAGGGCCGGCTCCTTCTGCCCTGGGTCCCCTCCTCCACCACGCATGGGTGCGGTCTTCTTGCTGTGTCTTTTCTATGTCTGTCTGTGTCCAGGTTTTCCCTTTAAAAATTAGTCATCCCTATTTTTGTGCATATTTAGGGAGTGCCATGTGGGAACTCCACATGCACACACTGTAGTGATCAGGTTGGGGTATTTGACATTTATTTCTATCCCT